GAAAAGAAAAGAAAAGCGTCATCGGAACGGACACTCTATTATCTGATTATGATCGGTGTTTATTAAATCAATACTTAATTCTCGTTACATAATTGACGCAGTGCGGTTTATTTCGGTTATGATCTGATTCGGTTCGCTAAATCAACGTCCTCTTGCACGCTGTAATCAACCGAAGAAAAATTTTGTCCGAACAACACGGTTTGCCCGTAATCGCTCATTCTACTTATTACGTCACCTCTCGCGCTGCTTTAGGCAGATACACAAGGTCCATGTTGCGCGATTAATAATTGCATTCCATTTACGACTCGAGATCGAGTCGGCCGAACCAAGAATAAGTAACAAACAGCGCGATAACAAAACCGTGAAATAAATCTTCCTCCAGAAGAATGCTAGGAGAATGCTTGCGAGAAATGTCATATCTGTTTCTTCCAATTCGTCTTTTCCAACTCGCCGATTATACGCTCGAATTATATACGTTTTATCCATCTATTTGTCCCCGCGTTCCGCGACAAAAGTACAAACGCATTTCACCGCGCTTCTGCAAATTGGAGGAGGAGGAGGAGGAGGAGGAGAGCCACCTCCCACGTGGGCTTAACAATTTTTAACGGGCCCTGCTCCCAACTTTGACGAATAAGGCCAGACAACTCGCCCACGCGTTCCAACGCTTTTCGAACCATGTGCACGTCCCATCTATTGTTACTTGCCGATGATCTGCTTGATGAGAGCGAGTTAAGAAAAGGTCGCGTTGTTAAATCCGGTTGCCCTTTTCTTTTCTCTCTCTCTCTCTCTCTCTCTCTCTCTTTCCCTCCTGGATTACAAATTTTAGAAATAAAGTTCGAGCGTTAGACACGTCAGGTTTTCGCTGACGCGCCAAATCGATCGAAAGCCAATTTTTCGCTAACCTTTTTTTTTTTTTTATCGTTTAAAGGTAATCGAGGAATCTTTGTTTGGAGTAGCAGGTTGAGATAAAGTTCAAGTTCACTCGATTCTTATCCAAGTTGATGTATATCGTATATTTCCGCGATTAATCGTCTTTCGAGAAATAGCGTGAAATCGATTATCTGTTTCGAATGTGTGTGCAGACACACGTATTTGGTAAGATATCGTGAGAGATTGAACGCGTTTCGCCGGGCTGTTAACGATTAAACTCGTGTGCTAATTATACGAAAGTTAAGACAGAAAGAGAAACGAAAAGTCTCGGTGCTGAGCAATGATGTCACAGCCAGACGACAGCCCTGAGAGAACGTTTACCCCGCGACGCTAAAATAGGTTTATATGCCTATGTATAGCGCTTCGTTAAATGTATTTAAACTGTCGCCGAGTAATGGACGGTTTTGCAGACAGTGACATTGGATTCGTTGCACTTGAGGCACAAGAGTAGTATTATCGGCCAATGCCGATTCGGATCGAACGTGAGCCATGCCTGCCCACCACATTGAGCCAATATTCATTTCAACCCTCTCCCCGATTATCGTTCAAACCAACCAGGGTTCACTTTGAAGGGGTTCTACCACGATAAATGCACCACACTTGCACTTTCTATATTGATCTGCTCCTCCTCCTCCTCCTCCTCCTCCTCCCGGAGGAGCAGTTCGTTCACCCTCAAATCCCAGCTTCATCTTTCAATCTTCCGTGTTTCCTGCGGATTCATAACTTTACACTGTTCCATCCCTCTTTCCATCCTTTCGATCCTTATTTGTATTTTCTCAGTTAGATGATTTTTATGAGATTGAACGTACTGTTTGAAGCAGTAGGCGACGTTACTTCCAGTAGGTGAGAAAGATTGATAGATCGTTTCTTAAAAACGAATTATGAATCTTTTATTATTAGAAGAATCAACAACGTGTACAGTTAAATTTCACGATGAATTTCACCGTACCAAAATTCTTATTGATTTTAACCACGGAATGTGTGGTGTAATTCGTTCAAACCTGCGCAATTATGTTTTGACGAAGAAAAAAGAGAAAAAAGGGCGGGAAGGGAAAATACCGTGAAGCAATCATTACGAGTGCACGTAGAGGATTCGCAGACGAAGTATAATTACGGACAAGAGGGAAAGCGAGGGGTCTACGATTTTTTTTTTTTTTTTCTAGCTTTCCAGGGAAGCAGAGTTTATCTTGCCTGGATCAATATACCCTGGACCCTTGTCACAGCATTGATGCAAGGGTTTTTAAACCTTTTAAATATCAGGGAGATCTTGACTTCAAAATACTTTGTTTTTCGAATAATAATACGAAACGTATTGTCCTCGTGTTTCTCTTTATCGATTTGCTGCCAATGCATCGATATTCGTAACGTTCGGCAAACTGGTTTTCCGTGTACACATTTTTTCCGCCGAGCCTTTAATTAATCTCTCGTCACAGCAGCGCGTATAAACGTCTTCTATGCTCGGTAAATTAGCCGGCGAACCCCGATCGCCTTGGTGGGCACGGCTAGAAAGCCGTAGAGGATTTAGAACGATTTCTGTATAAACGAAAGGGGACAATCGTTCCTCTATAATCGTCGATATACACGTCGATATATAGATCTAATCGATTCTCGACCCTGTTGTTCCAGGTCGTCCAGAACGGTTTAGAAATCCTCACGTTTCTTGCGGATCGAATGGGTCACGACTTCAAACCTTATATTTCCACTATTATTCAACCAACGATAGATCGGCTGGGTAAGTGTCGCCAACTTTCTTGCACTTTTTGTTTGTCTTCCGGTATTCGGGTAAATTATTTCTAATAAATTTTAATTTGTCGTAATTCTTGAAATTTATTTCAACAACGAATTACGTTATTTCGTGGAATTATCTATAACCGATAAATGTGTAGTTGTAAATTTAATTTGTTTTTTTTTTTTTCTTCGTGGGAACGTTTCGTTATTAACTTTTTTTTCTTTCGAATCGTCGTTGAATCGTGAGTGGATGAGCTCCGGATGAAATAGGCACGGAAGTTTAACCGCATATTACGAGACGAGATATTATGACAGAGTTATAAATATAGAACCGGTCTCTAGAAGTTTTGTTTCCTTTATTTGCAATGAGTGGTACAATTAATATAGATATCGATGACGATTTGTTGCTTGATAGGTGACAGCAAGGATGCGACACGGGAAAAAGCGCAGCTAGTGCTCCTTAAAATAATAGAAAAAGGATGTATGACTCCTCAACAACTTTTGGATAGACTGCGGCCGGCCTTTAATCATAAGAATGCAAAATTACGGGAGGAAGCTCTAATTTTGTTAACAACAACGTTGAACGAGTAAGGACCCGTGGAAAATTACTAAAAATTGCAAAAAGAAAAAGAAAGAAAAGAAAAGAAAAAGTAGCTAAAAACATGGTTAAAACATCCGGTTATACTTGATGAATCTTTTTTTTACTAGACACGGCGCTGATGAAATGATGTTGTCAGGGGTAATTCCAAGTATCGTAAAATTATTATCAGATCCATCTGAAAAAGTGCGAGAAACTGCTTTGAACACATTAGCGGATATCTACAGACACGTTGGCGAGAGATTACGCGTGGATTTGCAGAGAAAGCACAATGTACCGCAAGCTAAGTAAGTGAAAAAGGGAATCGATTCTCGGCTTTCCGCTTGCATACGTTACAAATTAAAACACAGCACTTTTTTTTTCTCTACCGATTAGTCGAAAACCGATTTTATAACGATTTTAAACCTCTCTTTACACTTGGAAGAGAATATAATTGCATTAGTAATTCTAATCGAGTATGTTGAAGTCATACGTATACGTGTTAATCTGACACGTTTGACTTTGTGTTGCAGATTACTGTTGTTGATAGAGAAATTCGATCAATTGAAAGCGGCTGGCGATCTGCTGCCTCTAGCAATGTCTTCGGATGGTGAGTAAATCAATCGAATTTACCTTCTCAGCAGGTATCCAGTGAATTAAGTCGGAAAAGGTATAAAAAAACCGACCGCCACGCGCGTCATCTCCGTTATATTATTCAAGCTGTATCGTGCTGCCATCCCACAGCCATGAACGCTATCGCGTTGCGAATACATACCATCGTACCTGGGAAGACCAACCTTCGTTCTTTCCTTCCTCTCGCCTCTTGCTTTCTCACTCTCCCTCTCTCTCTCTCTCTCCTTCATTGTCCACGTTATTGGTACACACGATGAATATTTAGCAAGGACCGCTTGTTCTCCAACGTGATAAGAATATTCTCTTAATTCAGCACGGTAAAACATAGCCAATTTGAATTTAATTACGTCGCACTGGCACGTTTTCCGCTCGAACTTCTGGTTCGATTGTAACCAGTGTACGCATTTCTTTTTCTTTTTTTTTTCTTCTTTTCCTTCCTGAATAATACTTTACTCGACAATAACGCGTTTTTTTTTTCGAGATTAATTTTTCTTCAAAATGCGAACGTAATATTATTGAAAAAAGAAAAAGAAAAAATATAAAGCTGTAACGTTCGAGGTTTCATCAAGGAATCATGTTTCTGGAAACGAATGATGATGGTTTTTACTCGAATTTCCAAATTGTAACTTCTCTGCAAACTGAATGATGACTGAAAGATTCGTTTTTTTTTTTTTTTTTTAGAAGAAAACATGTCGAATTCAAAGATAGTTGTATCTGTATCGCATCAAATGTCATTTCCTTGAACGGGTAACACAATGACATTACTAATTCGTGTTATCTATTCTCAGATATTACATAATATTATATATACCGACAGCTATGGTGTGCTATGCAATATCGGCGGTGTATTGTTTCAAACGTTGTCTGTAATTCATACCGTATTAAAGCTGTTCTGCTTTAAACAAACGGCCTTGTAACATTGTAAGATTATTGCCAGGGTGTTCGAATTTCGATTGCAAATATTACATCTCGCCAGCAACCGAATACTTAACATATTACTTGCAATGCTGATAAAAAAAAGAAAATGCAACTCAACGACACCGATAGATACACAGTAAAAAGTACGGATAAGTCGAGATTCTCGATGAGTCACGATGCACACATGTATACATATTCCATTGTATAATTAATCTTTGTTTCTTGTTAAAAAAAAAAAAAATAACGACTATATCTCTCTTATGTAACGATAAATGAAAGGAGTATACGTCTCGGCTTAAGTAATCCCATCTTCGACTAAATATTTTTACTAATACAACTATTAGCTAGATGTTAGCGGCTGCGTGTGCAAAACATTCGTAAAAAAAAAAAAAAAAATAGGTGATGATCACAATTATTTCTGTTACGCGTTTCGAATTTACGAGCGAGACGAAGTTGTCTACATTTAAATAAGGAATATATTTCTTATTCTCCGATGTTCGATCATGATTAGGTCATATATGGGCTTGGCAAGGAAATTACGGTTCTTCGCTTGATTTCAGATATATTAATAGAACGCCAAATTACCATGAAGAACTTAGCATCTTCTTCCTGTCTCGTTTTTTTCCCATCCATTATTGTACGCAGGATAATTTTTATTATTATTATTCAAAAATTCTTCCTTATTATTCAATTTATACCGAATTTCACGGAATTTTCTATCCTCTTTCTCCTTGTTTTTTTTTTTTCTTTCTTTTTTTATACAAAAGAAAACGAATGCATTTAGGCCAACCATTTTTTCGCCAAGCTCTTCTTGTCGTATGATAATGCGATCATTTTTTCTCGATTGTGGAATTTGCACCGTGTATACTCTGGCATGCGGCTTAGCGCCACGAGTAGTATCCTTGTACGCGCGACGTGCGACACGAAAAGGTTGAACGAGCACCACGACACCAGGAAAAATTTGCACGAGTCTTGTATTCGCTCTCTCTTTCCCTATGACCCGCCGTCACACCACTGTGTTGGAAGTTCACGTTGAATCGCGTATGCGCGATTTCTCCAACGTTCCAGCGCGGTACAGCGCATCGCCTGTACCTAACCTATACGTTACTAGGCGGAACAGCTCTCTTTCTCGCAGGTCAGTTTATAATTTCGACCGTTTAATGGCACGTTTAAACCGATTAATCGTATCCAGGTGAGGAGGAATACTTGATTTTGACTTGGCAACGATAGGAATTTATAACGTTTCGTTTCTCCAGCACCGGTTTCACCGGGAGATTATTCACCCTACCCTTCACTCGCTCGATCGAAATTAGCACCCACACCGTTCAGCTTGAACTCGCCTTCTTATTATGCGACCTTACCCCGAGGACAACGGTCGGGACGCGTGCACACGTGCACACGGGAGAAGTGAAAGGTAGGGTGGTAACACAGATTTATCTTCACCGTTCGTACAGTTTGCACACCGTTGGTACACCGTTCTGTGCATGATCAGATATTAAGCGGGGAATAGCACACGGATGCCCTTTTTTTTTTATATCCTCTCTTGTCGACTCTCGCTGACATTCTGCGCGCCAGAACGCAATAGCAGCAACTCGTCGCAACTTATCGACGATAGCCGCGATTCCACCGCGGGAAAAAGTAAGATGAGCGCGACCGATCGATAAAAAAGATTATCGACCATGGTACGGAAGAAAGTTTTGAACTATCCGAATTGGGTTCATCGTTTCGTTGCAGCGACGCTTTCTTGTATTAACACCCTTTGCGCTTCAACGGTGACTCTCGGCCATCACTCGACAATTCGAATAGCGAATATTTATTTGATTTTTTTTTAATAGAAGCTTCGTGAATAGATTCCTAAACTCTTTGTCGAATGGTTAGATTTTTTTATCTCAAATTTTGAGTTTTGTAAACATGGAATGGTGCGGTAATGAAATTAGTTCGAACGAAGATAAGTTTGATCTTTCGTTGATTGAATAACGAAATTATTTCTATTCGTTAAGAAATTTGCGATAGGGAGAAGGAAAATAGAGATGTAATGAGAGAAGGTGAAAAATAAGAATAATAAACGGTGAGAGAACGGGATTATTGGGATTATAAGGTTTGTTCTCGATAAAATAAGAAAGATGAAAGATATCGAACGACATTTCATTGCGATATTTGCCCTGGCAAATCGAAGATGCATCTTGATAATTACATTATTATTAAAATATCGCACAAAACAACAATATAAATTTTAATATTCGACAAATTTTCTTTCTTTATATGTAAAAATACATAAAATATTAAAATGTAAAAGTTTTATACGTTTTTGATTGATTGTAAAATCATTTTAAAGGAAATCCCTCTTCTTGGTTTTTCAAAAGAGAGAAAAAAAAAGAAAAATTCAATCGATTAATTAGCTTAATAGGATAATAGGTTTGCTTGACCTACAACACCGTTTGGCTGGAATGATAAAGGCATGTGTTTTCGCCCGACAATATGTGCACATTGTGTTCATACTATTATGTAACAAGAAGTATAGCATTATCGTGTTCAAAGCTTATTCGCGTGGGCGAATATTTTCTTCTTCTTGTTCTTTAAGCAACATTTAATAATCGTTCCGTGGAATTGGCACTCGTGTTTCCCTTTTTCTTCCGTGGCGCTTGCATCCGTGGCTACGATACCTGCGATACTGTTACGAACGACGAACAATGGAGAATCGCACGCGGAGAAAAACGCGTGTTCTCCGTCTCTCTTTCCTCTGTTTCTCATTTTAGCTTTCTTTGATGGGAAATCGGAAGCATAAACCATCGATGGATAAAAACAATAAATAACGTTACTTTCACCAATGGATGACAGACACTGTAAATACGATTTCCGATGAAATTATCATCGCTATATCTCGTTTTCTATCGCTAATTTATTCCGCACTCGATTCCTACTGAATTTCTAGGAAAACGAAGAGGTGGTGGCGCGTCAAAGTTCGTTGTAATAGGGGAATTAATCAGTCCCACACCTCGCGCGGTTAATTATATCTATGATCGTAATTATCAATATTCGCATCGTGTAATGTAAAACGTAATCACGAATTTCAAGGAAAAATTTTTTTTCTATTTCTCCCTCCCCTTTCTTTATGTGAAATTATCACTCATTCTAAAGGAAAAAACGCTTCGATCAAAATGATCGGACTTTTTCGAAGCGTATTCGCATTTGAAAAAAAAAAAAGAACGATACGAATCGATATAAAAATGCATTGGACCGGATAATTAATTTAAAACTTGTCTCTTTTTAATTCTCTCGGAATAAAGATTAAGCAAACGTTAATTGCATCTTTAAATTCTTATTCGGAACGTGTAATTATCCTGAGATAGCTACTGGCTCAAATTATTTCTTCATCGAAGCTTCATCTGTGTGTCGTTTTCACGGTCCTGTTTGTATTTAATTTCTTGCCGCTTCGTGGTAGGGAACTCTTGATGACGGTGCGCGCGGGGTTTATTACAGATAAACATTGTAATTGCACCGTGATCCACTTATTTCCCTTCCTATACCGTGAATTTAATTATACCTCGCGACGTATCGGCATTCGTGTTAATACATAAAATCTTTCGTTGTATCAACTCTATAGGGGGGAAAAAAAATAAATAAATAAAAAGAAAAATTGGAAAATTTTGAACGAAGGATGTAATGTTCCCTCCGTTAGAGGGAATCCAACTCGAAGGCGACCGCAATAATTTTACCTTATTCATTGCACGACCTGTTTCTTACCCGAATCAACATTAATCTTCGTTACTCTCCCTTTTCGTATTATCGATTTTTCTCCGTACACACATTGGAAGATGTTTAAACGACAACAAATCGAATGGAATCGCATTAATCAGTCACTTGTTTTACACCTGGACAATTTGTAGATACTTTCACAATCGGGTCAATTACTTGTTTCATTCGGCCTTTTTATTTTTTTTTAATTTGACGAGTATGGCGTGCATTCAATTATGTACCTTGTTGCGATAAATCAATCGATAACGCGTCTTAATTTAAAAAAGTTAGAATGGAGCTTGTGAAACTGCAACGAGAAAAAGAGATAAAAAATTAATTATTAAGTTAAAAACGATCGTATTCTTTGTATAAATTCATAGTGATACACGTAATATAGTAAAAATAATTAAGTATACATCTTCTTCTTTCAAATGTAGGGTTAATCATCAGTCGGATCTTTTGCCGTTCCTCCTCGTTCAGAAGAAGAATCGTATAAGAAAAAAATTAGCGCAGGTTCTCTAATAGTCGAGACGTAACAGAGAGAGATGGGTTCTCGAATGTTATGGGTCCCTCGTTTGGCCCCCGTCGAGGGACACTCGATAGGGGAAGGTCCCCTTCCTCCTGTCCGACTTTAGCTCGGGTCTCGCGACGGTCTCGCAGCGCTTACGGGAGTTTGTAAACGAGTCGCCATTTAGCAACGTGAGAGACGCGTGTATGACGAAGTGGAGACATCCGTGGACTCGTCGAGAAAAACGTATCCAGAATCGTGACGGTCTGCCTAGTGATCTTGATCGTATTTTTTTTCTGTGTCACGAGCCGAACACGATCTGGCCGGGAGTGTGACGCGTTCTAAGCGATACGTGTTGTTACCGTTCACGGACAATGGGCAAGGACGATCGTTTCAATTTCTCTCCACTCGTTTGTTTACCTGATCAAACGCAGCTGCTGAAATACGTTGTTACGATATCCCTCCGCCAGGAGGATGGATTTGTTGCAGAAACGTCTGCCGTGTTGGTTGTCCTCGTTGGTTTGAAAGACATCGCGATATTTTAAGCGAATTATCGCAGAATATTTTTAAAAAGTTACTTAGTTCGGTATTGTGCGATAACGATTATAACCAAGGTAGTGACGGCAACGTTTTTCGTGCATATGTATATCGTGTGTCAGATGTTCTGGTGAAAGACAAGGCAATTCCTTTGTTAAGTTCTTGATATAATGGATTAACGGATTTACGTGCTATTTAAAAAAAATACGACCAAATAAATCGACAATTGTAAATCCTGAAAAATAATCATCGCGTATGTCGCATTTCGAGATTGAAACACGTGGAATACGAATAAATTTTTAGCATCGTTGACGTGTTCGAAGCGAATAGATATGTTAAATATTACACGGAAATTGTTGTGTTTCAACAATTGAATTCCTCCTCGAAGAAAGTGATTTGTTATATTTAATGTTTTCTTAAAGTCAGTAAAAAAATCATCAGCGATTGAATTATTAATGAACTTTCACAAATGTACAATGAACTTCAGTTGAATTATTAGACAATTTTCCTAGTTATTTCTCTGTTTTTTTGTCTCAAAGAAAACTGTGTATATCCGTTTTATTAATTTTTCCAAGATATAAATCGAAGATCTTTACGTGATCTTCGTTATTGGTATAATAAAACATAAATAAATACCCGTGTATGTACACGTGTGTGCTAATGGATTACGCGTAAGTGTCTGTGGATTGTGCTTGTGACGCAATGATCCTTGGAAGTGCAATTTATTTTTCTCTTTCAACTCCGTCGTCGATTGTTTCATTGTAAATTATAGAAAAATTCTTGCACAAAACGGAAATGCGAAACGTCGTTGAGTAAAATCTGGATTAAGTCAACGTAACAAGGATGCCAAGCATGTTATCTGTAACGTGAGAAAATAACTCTCTCGTCTCTCATTGCTGTGCTTATTAGCAGTGATATCGTGAATGCAAAGTCAACTTCTTATTTTAACGCGTTCAACTGCCATTCGATATCTCATAATTCGATCACGAGAATGATAAAAATGAATCTTTATTTATCTTATTTATCTTTATAATTATACGAATGAGAAAACTTATATTCGTTATCATTGTTATAACAGTGTGTAGATTGGATTTATATCATAGTTGATATTTACTTTCGAAAAAAATATTCTTTCGATATTCGATTGTTTTATCGATTCCCGTCGGTTGAGGAAGTGAAAGAAAAAGAAGACGAATAGTTGCGGTTATGTTAAATGAGGAATTTCGCATAAAAATGAAAGTAGATAATAAAATTTCGAAATCCGATGGAATTGTATACATGTATATTTTTTTTTTTTTATTAACAATCATAAATTTTAATGACTTAAATTTCTGCACTCTCGAAAAATTCTATCGATAAAATTTCCTGATTATAAGTTGCAATTAAAAAAAAAAAAAATCATTAATTAGTTATTAGAGAATTCTTTGCCTCGTTAGAGGATAATTCAAATCACTTTCACTGACGTGTACTATACATAAAGATTATTTTTATCTTACACATTCTAGAAAAGAAGCGTAAATTCAAGGAATTTTAATTTCTCAATCGTTCTTTCTTCGATCATTTTGTAAGCGAAAAACTTGTTTTTCTTACAGAAATATTTTTGTTAACAACTTTGACAAACTTTATTTTTCATATATATAATTTTGATTATTATCATATCATTATAAAAATAAACTTATAGACTTATTGTACCAAAATGAAGACGTTTTATACTATAATGACTTTCTTTCAAATTATATTAAAATATCAACTAAACTTTGCACTTTGTCGTAAGAGATCGTTTCATAATTTTGTCATACAATTGTGATTGAAAAAAATTCATTTCGTTAAAATGAATGATACTGAAACGTGGTTGTCAAGCAACCATCGTTGCTTACATAGAGGATTAAAAAAATATCCCAGTATTGATAAAAAATTGTGGGATCCAAGTAGTAAATGGATTCTCCAATGGGATAACATTGTAAAACATCCAGGTGCTAGAGCAAGAGGATGTCATTGTGATATTCACAAACCACCATGGCTATATCCAGATTTAGGTAGAAAATTTTATAGAATGAAATAAATTAATTAAAAAAAAAAATTTATTTTTAAATTGCGATAAATTTATTATTGCAACTTAATAAAAACTTTTTCGCCAGAAAATAAAAATTATTATTAAACTTATAAACTTTTAATATATTTTTTTCAGTTGGGAAAATCTCTGATGAAACGGATAGAGCTGTAAGTATTGATTAAAAATTTAAAGTATATTTAAATATTTAAAAATACGCAAGATAATGCGAAATAAATTTGAATATTTTAGATTAAATCAGCTCCTGTGAAAAGATCAGCTGCTCCTCTAAAAAGAGGACAATTCGGTCCAGCGAAAACTTCATCTTCATCTTTAGGTATATACGAGTTAAATCTAATGGTATTTGTAATTATGTAAAAATCAATATCAATATCCAAGTATATAAATCATTTTTTATTGTTATATTTTAAGCATGATATAATTTACACTCATTTGAAATAGGTTCTATATTAACTTTTAATTTGTACCTCTATGATATATACACATAGACACATTAGCAAAATTTATATTAGTATGTGTAATAACTTGAATTATTTCATAAGTATATTTATAGATTATAAAAAAGTTAGAAAGAAAGATAATGTTCGGTGTAAATTAGCTTTCTAAAATTTTAATTCTTTAATGATATACTTAATTATTTGATTTTATAAATTTTAGTTACATCATTTATCATCGTTGTATGAAAATTAAAGCGCTTTTTATGTTATAAGTGCTTTATTTATGTATGAAACAAATACTCGGATAATTTTCACATGAATGTTGTAATTCCTAAAATTAATACATTAGGAAAGCACATGTTCCTCCAATGCAACCAATGCACAAGTGTGAAGCGTGCTAACAATTCTTGCTTTCTTTTACTCTATGGCTCAGCATTTCGTATGATATTAATAATATTCTTTCCAACAAAAATACAAAAATACAAAATGTCGATAAACTGTTGACGTTTCGATGACGAGAATGCTAATTATTCGCTTGCATGACAGCTCAGCCTGGTAATACACCTTCCATGGTTCCAAGGGCTACAACCGTCAAAAGAAACGTGTCAGTAAAATCGACATCAGGTATCTAAAACTTCATTGGCATATTATTTTTGTAATATATCATGATGGCCTTTTCGTAAATTTTCGATGTTTTGTATCGAACGATTTTGTATTATTTTTCTTCCTTTTACTCTTGAATTTCCATCATGATATAAGTACAAAAAAAAAAAAAAATTTACAAATTCGATCGAACTAATATTCATAATAATACACTATGCATATTTAATATTTAATACGAATCCCTTGTTCAATGTTGCTTTATTTCTTCTTTTATTTGCGTCTTATTTCATTGCGAGCATAAAATTCTAGAACCCTATAAATACATACTCGTAATTATAATTGAATTGCCTTGCTTTTTATATTCATTTAACAATGTTCCAAATTATCATAAGTATATTCAGTGTTATAAAATGTCATACGAACGTTTTTTTTTTTTTTTAAATATTTTATCAAAATATAAAAGTTCTAAATTTAAAGATATAATTAAAATTTTTCAATAAGATTCATACAATTTTTTAAAAATATTTAGTATTCTATATTCTAAATAAGAAAAATAAAAACGTTATAAGCAATATCTTATTAAAGTAGTATTATAATTAATATATACATTAATATGAATATATATATATATATATAAAATTAATATATTCAGCTCAAGCTGGTGCCGTCGATGAAGAAACCTTCCTTACAACATTCGAAGATGTGCCATCCGTAAATTTATTTTCCGCAAAAGATCTTGAAGAGCAAATGAAAATTATAAGAGATAATGTTGGTGATGATAAAAAAGATTGGAAACAAAGAACAGAAAGTGTATGTATCAAGATAATATTGTTATAATATCAACGCTAATCGATTTGAATTATATATGCCAAAAATGTAAATTTCTTTTACAGATGAAAAAATTAAGAGCAATCATTATCGCAGGTGGTACGAATTACGAAAACTTTTTAGAAAATTTAAAGAATGTTCAAAGACCTTTTGAAGTTGCTTGCACGGATCTTAGATCGCAAGTAGTAAGGGAGGCGTGCATTACTTTAGCATATCTTAGTCAACAGTTAAAAAATAAGTTTGCCAGCTTTGGAGAAGCAGTCTTACTCACCTTAATGAATCTCATACAAAATAGTGCCAAGGTGAGACTCGTAATTATTTAGTCGATATTGACGAAGAGCAATTGTGATAACATAGAAAAACTTACATTGACGATTTTGCACATTTAGGTTGTGGCAACAGCTGGTGCCGTAGCAGTAAGGTTTATTCTTCAAAATACACATTGCAGTCGTTTTGTGCCAATTATCACTTCATGCTTAGGTCACAAAAGTAAAGACATACGTCGAGCTTCATGCGAATATCTAAATCTAATTTTACAAATATGGCCTACTCAAATATTACAAAAACACGTGACCACATTGCAAGACACGATCAAGAAAGGTATTGCAGATTCAGATTCGGAAGCGAGAGCTTTTGCTAGGAAGTAAATATTCTTGTTGTTTTTTGTTTATCCTTCCTTTATTAAAAAGAGATGTCAGATTGTATTTCGAATCTTTTCAGATCGTACTGGGCATTCAAAGATCATTTCCCGGAACAAGCAGAAGCATTGCTCAATAGCCTTGACACTGCATATAAGCGTTCGTTAATGTCTCTCAGCAATAGCGGTAGCATTAACAGTTTAAATGTAGTTACGAGATCAGCGAGCGTTAGTCCCCGAACATCCAGACCAGTCATGAGTGTTACAGGTATTATATATTTTCATTCGATTATCGAAAACGTAACAAATATATATTTGAAATAGATAAAGATTGGTATTGATGTAAATGATGCAGAGACACAAATATAAGATAGAACAATTTGGTATATAAAATACTTCTCGCTTTTTTTCATGCTGCTTTTGTGACTCCTCTTTATATTAAACATATGAAGGTAGTACGGAAAATTTGCATCAAACTTCGGGTCAACCACATGGCCCACTCAGACGAACGCCGTCCTTGCCACGGTCATATCGTCAATCTGGTATCCCAGTCCTCCAAAGACCCACTGATAGTCATTGTAATTGTTATCTTCTCGTTTGATGTTTTAAAATATCACCATGATTTAGAACATGCACTGTTGCTTCTAATGTATATGAATAGTATTGAATAGTAAATTTTTTTCAGTTCTTAATTTTTTTTAATCTTTTCCTCAGATCGTGGAACTTCGAGTGTTAGGTCGACTAGTGCGATAGATTTGCAAGCCGCACAAAGAGCAAAAGCGAGAATGATGTATGCTAACATGAGTAGACAGAAAGCATCACTTCGTGAGTATTTATCGCTAAAATCTTCAATTATTCCATTAGTAGTTTTTTTATTATATATTTCAAACGAGTTATAATTTTTTTATTTAGCACGTCCTAGCAAATCACCAGACACAACTGCTGTTGCTAGTCCAGAAAGAACGGCAAGAACAAGGACCCGAATGTCTGGGGTGTCGCAATCTCAGCGTAAGTTCACAAAAAAGAAAAGAATAAATTCATTTTTTTAAAGAAACGTGTGACTTAATAAAATTTACATGTATATATATATATAATAGCTAGCAGTAGATCAGGATCGCCATCATCAAGACTGAGTTATGCAACTTATAATCGTGAAGGAGAATCGTTAATTGCAAGACCTAGACGGTTATCTGGACATGGAATCAGAAGTACCGGTAATAGTCGTGAGCCAAGCCCACAAAGGTTTGGAATGGACAGAAGTTTTGCAAGCAAAATACGGTACAATATTTATCTTATAGATTTTGCTTGATTTTAATCTTGACCGAATAAGGAATATTATATAAAATATAGGGGAAGAAGTTTACATATGTCCCCAACGGATAGACCTCAATCTAGACCAGTCATGGCACAAAAGATGTTGCAACAATCGCGGGAAGCAGAATCAGCATTGGCAGATGCGCTTACATTTGAAAATATTGATAATTATACAAGAACACCAAGAGGAAAAGGTGATCACAGTGATGATAGTGAAACTAGCAGCATATGTTCCGAACGAAGTATGGACAGTTTTAGACGACCAAACGATGTAAGTATAAGGAATGACATTAATTATAGATACTAATTATAGAATAGCTATTATTTCATTATCTCATCATTATCTAATATCTCATCATTTCATTATCTAATAAAAAATTGGTAAAATAAATAGAATATATAAAATAGAATATCCAATATCCAACACAAAATACATTGATTTCACATAATTAAAACATATACATCTTTATTCATTATTACAAGTATGTAATTCATTATTGTATCACTCAAACTATTCATTACAATCATTACACTTATTTTATCATAATGCTTATCCTATTTTATTTATTTAAATAATGCTTTTCTAATTTATTTACAATGAAATTAAGAGCTTGCAATATTATTATTTTTATTTGAAGATTTTTATTTCTTATGCAATTTGAAAATGCTTTAAACATATTTGCTTTTAATTATAGACAATGCTATGTGCTCATGTGTATAATTTATTATTTCATGTAAAATAAATTATATTTTCAATTAATTAGACAATTTGAATTTCTGCTGAATTCTATTTCATCTATTCATATTCGAAAAATATCAAAATATCTATTTCTTGAATTTGACAGAGTAGAATTAGATCACAAGCTTAAAAAACAAGCTTTCAGCATCTTATATTGTAGATAACGCATGTCTGGTTTTTTCTTTTGGTTTTTTTGCGGCGTATTTGTTTGGTTTGGACTAACGCGATGCGCCGTTCTGTTCTCCATATCTGTCCATCGTCCATCTACCCATTAGTCGTTCTCATGGAGTGGCTCTCAACAAAGACTATATCGTGATATGTGGGATCAGTCTATCCCAAAGGTTTGTTAAATTTAATATTCACTTTCATTTATTTCATACATATTCGATACCTTACACTATACTCTTCTGCCGAAAGAGGAAATATAGCAAAACTCAATTGAAAATACATTAAAATATTCTTATTGTGGACAAATTTTTTATATTACATATATTTATAGAAAATATAATATATAATCCTTTAACTTTCAGGATATTAAGGAAATTATAGAAAATTGTGCACATAAACATTGGGGCGATAGAAAAGAAGGTTTAGTTGGATTACAACATTTTCTTTCAAATGGAAATACGCTTACAGCTACGGAATTGCGAAAAGTAACGGATATTTTTACGAAAATGTTCATGGATTCTCACACAAAAGTTTTCAGTTTATTTTTGGACACATTGAATGAATTAATAACTACTCATAGTGAAGATCTTGGTGATTGGCTTTATGTTTTATGTGCAAGACTTTTGAATAAATTGGGCACTGACTTACTTGGTTCGATACAAGCAAAAATTCATAAAACGCTTGAAGTTGTTAGGTAAGAATGGATGGATTAATTTTTATTAATTTTGAAATTAATATAGACTTTTTTATTTATTTTAACTATTTGTATCTCTCTCCGAATTCGCAGAGAATATTTTCCAGGAGAGCAACTTTTACCTGCTGTAATGAGGTATTTAACAGATCCAACACAAACTCCAAATTCTCGCGTAAAAGTGGCGACGCTTATGTTTATCACACAAATAGCAGAAACAGCACAACCATCTGCACTTAATAGTTCCGCAGGAACAGCATTAGCAAGGTTACTCGATTGGTCGAATGATGTTAAAAGTCAAGAAGTCAGAAGGCATGCACAAAATGCTGTTATATCGTTATATAATTTAAATCCTCCAAAAGTAACTATGATATTAGCTGAATTACCGAAGTATTATCAGGTTAGTTATTATATAGAATGTTTTTTAATAATGAATATATTTGTATTGAACATATATGTATATTATAGGAAGCGGCATTGCCATTAGTACAGAATCATTTAAGAAAATCATCAGGTTCGAGTAATCCTGCATCTCCTGGAACTCCTCCTCCTAGAGCACAGAGCTCACCAGCTCGTTCGAAAGGTAAAACTGATATCGACAATGCGGATGAAAACTTGGAAGAAGTTTATAAGTAAGAGTGATTATTCTTAAATCGATAATTTTGTTATTTATAATTTTTAGTCATCTTAATTTTTAAGTACTTTCTACAGATCTTTAAGACGTACAACAGCTGAAATACAAAATTACGGTTTTGAACGTTTGGAAAGAGCAACTACTAGTAAAGATAGTGGAATTAGCAATATGGCTGATGTAGAAGAAAAAATGGAAGGACTTACATTATGCAATTCGGTAATTAAATAACTAATATTCTTAAAAGTATATAATAATTGAGATGTAATAGCTTTATTTTTACTAGGGTCGTTCATCTTCTGTTTCTTCTCCTACGCAAAGAGGACGATCTGTTACTAACATTACAGTAAATGGTTCAAGTGATACTATTGCAGGAGATCTGATTCTACCTCAAGAAAATAATGGTTACAAAACGCATGGTAAATATAGCATTATTTAATGTTATACAATATAATAATATTGAATTATACATATTTCTTTCATGCATTAAATATTTATATCAGGTTCATCACCTGATTCGATAAAAAGGCCAGAAGTTTTAGATAATATGATTAAAACATTACAATCTAAAATGACACAAACTGAAGAAAAAGTATCAGCATTACAAGAATTTCAATTATACGTTCGTGAGGGAGATGCCTTGTACATTAAACAAAATTTTAAGTATGTATTATTAATAATATATAATTCATCTGTTTGAATTATATCGTTACAATACGAGAATTCTAATTATTTGTCTTTATTTAGAAAACTGCTCAAAACATTATTAGATAGTTTGACTAACGATAGTAAGAAGATGCAAGTAGAAGTACTTCAAACTCTAATTGATATGCTTAAATGTACGGAACTTGTAGATAGCTTTTCTGTTTATCCTGAATTACTGGTTTTAAAAGTGATTAACGCGTATAAGTTAGATGATCAGAAACAAGATTCTTCCAGTAGCAGCAATTCCAGATCTCCAGTAAGTATATAAATTAATTTCATGGTATATAAACGATTGTTAATATTTTCATTCTATTAGGTTTTATGGATGGCGGAAAAATGTGCTGCAACAATAGCAATGGTTTTAAAACCAGAACAAGTTATTCACTTAGTATCAACTATAATAACTACTGAACCATATCCCTTGAATATGGGCGCAATAAAAATGCTTCATAAGGTTGTGGAACATTGGGGTCGTGATGCAATAGAACCTCATTTATCAAAAGTTATGCCTGGTCTTATCAAAGTGAGTTTAAATATATATTCTAAAAGATTTTTTATTATCATAATATACAATATGATATATTTTTGTACAGGCATATGATGATACCGAGAGTGCAGTACGTAAAAGTGCTGTATTCTGTATGGTAGCAATACATTTGGCAGTTGGTGAAGAGCTGTTGAAACCTCATCTCAGTTGTTTATATACCAGCAAATTGAAGCTTTTAAACATTTATATACAACGCGCGCAACAAGCGAACAGTCAACCAGCAAGTCCACGTAGCAATAGCAAAAATTAACTAACATCAAATTCCGCGACACTTAGGATCGCGATACTTAAAAGGTTTGCTCGTTTGAGTGCAAGACATGAACGAATGCTGGTTAGCTTCCTTAGTAAGTCCAATCCGTGACAACTATCATCGAACGATAGAACAATACAAGTCGATGTTTTTCAATATGATAGACTGATCTGCATGATTTCACGGCAAGGTGTGTGCGACATACCTGACCTCCTGACAGTGATGTTGCACAAAAACAGGTAGTATACAAGTTATTTATGCATATTGTTTTGTTTACCAAAAATTTATACCTATTGCAATGAGAGAATTGCTTTAGATGTAAGATTTCTCCAGTCATAATATATATATTTTTTATTGATACGTTACATCTTGATATTAAGTTGCAGCGTCGTTTCTTGTGAAAGAAAGAAGAAAAAGCTTTAAAAAAAAAAAAAAAAAAAAAAAAAACAAACTACCTCCGTATGTTATGCAGCTCATAAAGAATAGTATCGTGCCTCTTGTTCACACTTTGTGATTTTGTATACTTTGAATTTTGTTCGCTATTTGTTAGGATATTGTATATATATTTAGGTATCTCAGTGTATTGTTGTGCATCTTTTAGAGTTGATTGCGATGATTTAATAGGAATGTGATTCCAAATAATTTAAATATCGACTCGATCTAATTGGAAGTATGAGAAGACAGTGCGACATCACTGCCGAGAGACTCATATATTTTGTAAGCAGAATGGACGTGAATTGCCAATTATAACGGTACCGAAAGCATTGTATAAAAATACATTATATGCTTGTTCGCCGATTTACAAACATCGCTAATATTATTGCACGTGGCAATAAATTTTGCTGTGCACTTTGCAATGATTAAGTTAGAAGGGAAATAAAGACGGTAATATCAAGATGAGAATGGGCGTTATGTTTGGTATCGGCTCTGTATGAACAGTGATAATGAATAAATTTCATATAAAATATTTTTTTTCGCATTTCAGCATTAACGAGACAAAGCTCTCGCGAGTATCGTATTTGTTAATGATTATACGTAATACGATCATCATGGGAGCTTTTATACACGTGTATAAGTCGAAATGTCGAAAAAGACATAATGAATTTATTTGTTCAAAATCCATGTGCTAGTCAGTTTCCAAGGACGCACAATGACCCAAGAGATGCAGACGAGATAAAGTTCGGAAGTTTCTCGAAAAAGAAAAACAGAGTCTGTGAGAGAGAAACGGAGAGAATGTGTAGAATGAATGAGAGATGCGACGAAATCAGCAAAACTAGAGTAGGAATGATTAAGGGAATGATATTCGAAACTAACGTTAATATTTAAACTATTCGTCACGTTGCCAATAATTAAACGAATGCTAAATCAAACATAACAAGTTTAGTAACATTCTGTGCCATTGTCGTTTTTTGTTTTATTTATAATAAGGATAAAATTATACATAATATATATATACACACACACACACACACACATATATATATATATATAATCTATTTTGTCCTTTTCTTACTAGTAGGATGAAATAACAGAATAATTTAATTGAAAGTGAACCATTATAATATTAAAAGCAGAAAAGAAATAGATATTGCATATTAAATTTGACCATTCATAAATTTTTCTTCAAAAATACAAATATTATAATATTAAGTTGACAAAGTTATAAATCTTTGTGAGATTGAAGTTATAAATGCGATTCACACCTAACTCGACATAATAAAACACGTGATAATGTGTTTTGATTTTTAATAGGTGGCCAAATAGTGCCAAAAAATGGTAATGTGCGACAGGAAAGCAATTGGATTCAAACGTTCGAGTAGTCAGGTTATTTCTTTTACTTGGTGCCTTTGGCGTCGTCAGAACAAGATATGTTCGAGGATCGTCTTTCATCTTCTTGTAAAAAAGAGAAAAAGCTATCGTTAAAGTGATTGTAGTGCAAGTAGCTAGAAAACTCCTGTATTTGCTGATGTTGCGTAAAACGGACAGTGATTAAGTGATCAAGATAAAAGTTTCTCATTCGTTATTGCGATAGATAAACAAAAAAAAAAAAAAAGAAAAAAAGAAAAAAAAAGAAAAGAAAAGATTCGGATTATCTCAACAATATTCGTGTTCATTTTGCTATTTTATCGTAGAACACGAAGAACGCCAGTTTTCGTGGATTGATACATGTATCATCGACATCGTTTAAGAATGTAATCATGTCTATTTTCATAAATTGTGGTAGTCGTAAAATGAATTGTACGGACGCGAATCGTTTTTACCAATTGCGATTTGATTACAGACAGGATAAATGGTTTTTCATTCACGGGAAATCGGTAGGAAGTTTTACGATGCAACTTGGAATTTTCAATGAAGGAAACGAATGGAGATACGTGTAGGATTTAGTGTGATTATCAATTTGTCTAATATAAACTTTTTTAACATTACGTTTGTTGATATTCTTTTTGCAATTCATTCGTCATTGCCGTAATTATTTAAAAAAAAAAAAAGATTTAGAGTTTGACCTGGTGTGTACGGATATATCCTGTATATATATACATATTATTAAATAACATAGAATTTAATGTAATATTAATACGGATTAGGTAGCCACCGTCACTGCCTGCAGCGTTAGTCGTGCTGAGAACGCAGACCTTGGCACTGCTGGACTCTGCATAGTGTCGCGATCGTTTATAAAGAAAGAAGAAAGAGGAAAGCTTGTTTTGTTAAGTTTTTGAGCATTATTATTGACAGGATTTATATTATATTTACTAACGCGTGTATGATATGTAGGTATGAATATAATTAAGGCATATTATTGAAATTTTTGCCTTACTTTTTTTTTTTTTTTTTTTTGTTCATCACGATCATGATGAAATTACATGAATTTAATCACATTTATTCGTTATACAGACAATATATAATTTTGCTATTTTATTTTATTTAATGCAGTGACAGAGAAAAAAACAAAAATAACAAGAAGCATAATTTATTGTAATTCAAAAAAGATCATCACAAGAATTTCTATATCAATGTCCGTGCTTATTATATCCCATAATGTTAAAAAAATGAAACATATTTTAATTGTTACGAACGATTAAATGGAAATGATTAAGCACGGACATTTCTATTGTAAGAAATCATTGCGATGTAAAAATGATATACGCTTTTACGTGTGTGACGTCAATAACATAATTGGCGTGTAAAAATGAAATTATAGAAATTTTTTTCTTTTTCTGTGTGGAAAAAGGAGTTCTTTTGGTATTCGGTATTATTAATATTATTATTTTTATTACTATCATCATTATTATTGCCAAACTGTGCCGATTCTTCGCTTTGTACGTTATTCATTTAAGTACGAATAAAATTAAATAGGATAAATTTTTGCACCGCAGACATAGCTATTAATTCTGTTAATAATATACTTTACTTTCATACTTCTTGCACGCACAGATGTAAATACCTTTTAATATATGAAATTCTTCGACTGTGAATTTTCTTTCGATTTCCCGCGAAAAGGAAATCATTGAAAAAAAGAATAAAGAACAAAAACTGTCTCAATTACCGATATATATATATATTTAATATGCTAATCTTATTAGTAGTAGAGACTATATTTTATATGCGAAAAGAATAGTCGATTGCTTCATATGTCTGTCAATAAATGAAATTTGAAAATATTATTATATTATATCATATATTAACTTTGTAGTTTAACTATTTTGTACTTTTATCTTTTTTCAAAATATCTTCAAATTAGGAAAATTTCGATTTGTCAAGACGCACTAGTCGATTGTAAAAAAATATCAGTCATTCGATAACATTCGATACATAGGATAAAATCAAGATTGACAGAATTAATATGCGATACTGCAGCAAAAAATTATAAATAAACAACTTCATTATTCTGTTGCGATATTTTGTCTGACTATATTTTATTATTAAATGTCGATCTTATATCATATATACGTATGCGTACATTTATGAAACACATGTAATTCAAACTCGTATTTAATTTTTATTCCTTAATTGACGAATTCGCGTCAAAAATAAAGCCAATTGTCGTATACTTTCAAACGATTTGAATTTATATCCATTTAAACTGCCCCAAATCACGTGATCATCTATATTTTTATATTTATTTTTCTACACGTCATTTTAAAATTTTTTTTAGTTGTATTTTTTTTTATTGTTTAAAAATTATTTCAACATATCATATATCTTTAATATTTTTTATAAATAGAATAAACTTATTTATCATAATATTAATTTTTATTATAATTTTATCGAATCAGTAGAAATATTTTCACGTCGATCGATCAACGTTCAGAATTTATAATTATTGAAATTTCACTATTACATCTTATTTATTTGCGATGTAATTTTTAATGTATAAAAAAATACTTAAAAAATTATCTGCAAAATAATAATTATTATAATAGCGCAGCAAATTTTAAAATAATATAAAATTTTTTGACGTACGATGTTCTATCTAAAGTTCATATCTAAATTGACAAGTTATAATTTTCATTCGAATGTATAATCAATTGTTTCCGTTTTATTATGAATGGATATTTTTAACTGAATTCACAATTTTTTGTGGTTTCCAAAAATATGATTTTATTAGAAACGATTCTACGAAATTTTATAATGGTACATATAGATGTAAGTATATATGTATGTACACATATATGTATAACCGAAGAATACAAGCATACTATATAATACGATACAAAGTACATTCGCTTAAACTCTACTCTGTTCGCATATTCACGCATACCTATATTACAAAAAAAATCGACAAAAAAGAAAGGCACTTGTCGAACCAATCTCGATACATATATAATATTTCAAAATTTTTTCTAAATGAAAGTAACGCACAATATACGTGTTTTTTAATATGAGATTAATAGCTTATCTTCCCTTCTTATAACGACAACTTTCATCGAGAATTTGGTTATATCTTTAACAATTTGTAATAATTTTTTTTTCTAAGAATGGACAAGCTGAATTTCGATGATAAAAAATCAATCAATTGACCAATTTGATCGATTTCGAATAATTCTTATCGAGCATCTATTCGGCATTTTAAGATACATTGGACGTTCAATCTGGTCCACTGATTACGATTATCACATTTAATAAAAGTACGACGGCGTCAATGAACTTGTAAAAAGTACATTTATACGTTTGGTTCACAATTTGTTTTAGATCATTAGAAGAAAACACGATTCAGTATAAAAATATCATAAAAAATGATGTATATATCAGCATAAACATTAAACGTGACAAAAAAGTCGTACAAAAAGTGACGATCGTAATATTAGATCTATCTAAGTTTAAGTAATAGATAGACGATGGGTGTCACTAAAAAATCCATAAATTTGAACGAATCGATAGATGGCGTTAGTGATTTACGCAGCGCCTGCGCTTTTGATACTATTCGCTTTTTAAATGATACGCTTCGCAGGCAGAACGGAATACTGCACTTCACGTTATATGAATTTTCTTTGTAAATATTATTTAATCACAGCATAGTTGTTAACAATTGATTTCCAAAAGGAATGCTATGCCTGCCTGAAAACGGCAAACGTATATAGATGTTTCGTGAGACAATTTACAAAAAAGGTTATCTTAGGCACATACTCAGTATTTGTTCTCGGACAAAAATCTTTTTATCGTCTTCTTCTACAGTCATCCATATACATTTTATATGGAAGGCTGTATGGAAGATCAACGTATAATACTGTTTCGTATCTCGCCTAAAATCGTTTGCTAACTTTTGGTACAAATTTCCATCTAGTTTTCTTGGCAACATCACATTGCGTGCCGTGCGTATTATTAATTATATCTTTCCTGCTGTATACGCATTTATATATATATATATATACTAATTTACACGATGCAAGCATTTGATCTCGAGGTTATATCACAAAACAAATGTAATTCAACGATTGCAGAGATCTGCGAATTCATTTTGCTTGTATCATTCTTTGAATATTTGTTTTTAAAATTTTCCTCCAAAATTAGTAATAAACGAAGTCTGATTTTGTAATATATAATATATATAATCAACGAGAATTACCTATTGAGAATCCTCAATTTTTTCCTTTTTTTTTCTTTTCTTTTTTTTTTTTTTTTTCTTTTTCTTGCGATTATTTAAGTGAAAGCAAGTTATTTAAGTATGAAACTACACAGTTTCGTAATCGTAACACTCCTTTCTCTCTTCTCTTTCTCTCTCTTTCTTCTTTCTTTCGTTCTCTTTCACACATACTTTCCTCTTCCTTCCTCTTGTTTTTAACTTTTCGAAATGCTAACAATCTTAACAATATTAAAGTAAATCAATATAATTTATAAAAATTTGGGCGCGTATTTTATCTTTTACAGGGGTAACAACTTTGAACTAAAAGGTAATTTGTGTGTCATGTATAGAGTATACGTACGTTATACGTATGCTCTGGCTAGGAATTCTTTGTATCTTACGATTCCAGCCTCATGGAAGAAAAATTTACACGTTTTGTATAGTTTTAGGATTCAATGGTTGCGTGGCGGATGATTTGGCGTTTCGTTGCGCTCTTCTTTGTCTTCGTCGTTTCTTTGTCTTCGCTTCAGCTCCAACAGCTAGGAAATGATTTTGGAAATACTCCTCGATCTCGGAGAGTTTTTTACCATGAGTCTCTGGAAGTAACAACCATACGAAAACGACGGCCGCTAACGAAACGCCAGCAAAAAACCATTGCACGGCATGAGATCCTGCGATTGTACAAAAATGTATAAAAATCGATGAAGGAGATACGCGTGGCATTCGTAAAATATTGTACACATACCACCCAGAAAATCTTGTAAACTTCTGTAACTCTGCAGAGCAGAAAACATGAGTAAATTGGCTATGGAATAACTAATGGAATGGGCGATTCCTCGGATTTCGGTCGGGAACAATTCGGCCGTCATAGTCCATGGAATAGTAAGCATACCGACCATAGACGTGCAGACATAAAGTAACAGGCATAAAACAGGAACCTAAAAACATGAAAATGATCTTTTATTTAATTTTTCTTTCAATATAATAAATATAATAATAATTTGATTTTTATACCCAGTTTCCAGAACGATCGCCATTCTTAATAAGATAAGTGAAGTAACCAGAAACACCCATACAAAGAGTCATTCCCAAGGATGAAATTATACATAGAAGCCGCCTCTTATATCGTCTCAGCAACCAGGTATTCACCATCGAGCATAGAAAACGAGTTACACCGACTAGAATCGAGGCTATATATGCATCCACACCGGAACCAACTTCCTGAATGACAGTAATTATGGTAATCATCAAACGTGTAATCAGTGATTTACAATAGTTGGGTAGAAAATCGAGGACAATTGTTATTTACTTGGAACCACGTAACAGCGTAGAAAAGAGTAATATAGATGCCAGAAAACTGTTGAAAGGAGAAGAATAGGAAAAGTATCATCATAGGTTTCCATCCTGTTGGTTTCAAAAATCCTCTCAGCTTGGTAGAGATACCGCCATGTTTGCTTTTTCTTTGCTCGCTTAATTTAATCTCGTTTTCCTTTAAGATTGTGATAAATTGCGCTTCCGCGGCAGACACTTTTCCTTGCTTCTCCTCACGCTTGTACAACCTACAATTCCAATAAAAGATCATTTAAAATAATATATATATATATATATAAAAATTCTTATTTCATTCTTATAACTCGTTACTTATAGCTTGTTGCTATTTATTTTTAAAACGTTTTTCCTCACCATTCCAGAGATTTCTTCGCATCGTCTAGCCGTCCTTTTGAAACAAGCCACACAGGCGATTCCGGGACGAAGAATTGCACCAAAATAACTGGCACAACCGCATAAACGATGCTGAGCCAGGCCACAATTCTCCAGTCAATATATGCACCTTTTAAGTAGGAGAGCACCATGCCAAACGAGGCCAAAGTTGGGCCGAAAGATATCATCGAGCCTCTGAGCTCCGGACGCGCGACTTCGGTGATGTAAACGATCGCCGGTGACGTTGCCATAGCCGTGGCCAACCCGGCTAACAATCGGCCAACCAAAACCATCGGAATATTGGTCGAGAGTGCTATAAGAATCCAGCTTGCTACGAAAGGTATGGCTCCGTATTGAAGGGTCCGCAACCTTCCCACTGTCTCCATTAAAAATCCACCTAGCACGGCGCCCAAAGGTGTGCAAACAACCACCACGCTGGCTGAAAACCAATTATTCTCGCGTTCAATTCTTATTATTTTACGCAAGATTCCGTAAATTTTTAATCGAATAATAATTCTATTCGTTATTTACCGATCCAGGAAGTCTGCTCTTGGGTGGCATGCAATTCCGCATCTTGATCCTCGAGATGAGGAATCAGTATAGCCGAATATGCCATGGCTAATCCTACCGATATGTGGAAAGACGCGGCAATGATACAGGAAGCGATCTAGGGAGATAGATTCGATTAGGTGTCTGTTCGTTTCTTTTATTTTTTCTTTTTTTCCATCGAAGGATATATTCCTTCGATGATGTTATACCTCGGGTATGGCATTTTTAATGTTGGTAGGCTCGACAAAGCCTTTGTTGAGACTTCTGCTCGACACGATCGCATCTTTGAAGCATTCTCTTTCATTTTCCTCGATATTCTTCGACGCCTCGCGTTCAACACTGAAACACGAAAAGCTGTATAAACAACAATTCTATTCTTCTCTTCGTACGATAATTAAAATATCAAAGACGACAAAACACATCCGATAAAGGATGTTAAACGAGGAATATGTATTTGTTTTCCCGGCGATATGATTTATAAACGCTTTATAAACGCTTTTGAATTTTTTTTTATTAACTTCAAGGCTAGATCGTGGAATATATAATACGGCCGCGAGCAATGACTCACTTAACACGACAAAATGTTTTCGTTTCTTAATATTATAACTCTATCTGGTTACAGAGTTGATTAAAGTTCCTTCCTAACTAATATTTTCCCGAGTGTCGACAATTTCAAAACTATATATATATATATATACATAATTTCCACAGTACTAGCATGTATCCATTTCTTTCGTAACAGTGACATCATGCGAATCGGTTTTTATCATCCACGCACGATGTTTATGTCTGCGTTAGTAATTGCGAATAGATTTATAACAGCTGGCGATTTATTGCGACAAGTTGATCCAACTTAAATCGATCGATGACCGAGAACACATTGAAAAACCTGCGTCGGGCATCGATTTAAATACGACAGATGCGTTATAGACAATGTATCGTATGATTACTAAACCGCCTTTGGATAAAGAGGATTCTTCAACAACGATACAAACACACATATATACATATATATATATACTTGGTTTCCAGGCAAGAGCAATGACATCCAGATCGCTCCCGCGTACGAAAACAGTACGTGGTTGTGTAACAGTAGCTAGAAACGCTTATATATCACCAAGCTGTTGGACCTTAACTCGGTTTAATTAAGTGCTTGAAGAATTAACACGCGGTTACTCGAGGATTTTTACTCGCCGATGAATTCAGATACACCGCGTGGAAATGTTAATAATTCGCGATATAGTTGTACAAACCTTATAATAGACCCAAGCATTCTAATTTAATCCTTATTTATTACTCGCTATAAAAATCTGTTATAAAGTCTAATGTTTGTTGCTAAGTGTGAAAAAAATTGCATAGGTCACAATTATATAATTTTTTTCTCTAGATAAAATTATATATTCAATGAAAATTGCCTCGACATCGTCATCGTTTCTTTCTGCATATATATATATATATATATTTTATGTATATATTTTATATATATATGTATAGTGCGTATATATAATCGGAATAATTGTAGAGTTCCGAAATACGAATAAATTTGTAACGCGTTTCTCATCCGGGAGAGGCGATTCTCGCGTATCGATTTGTTCTCGAATGAAGAAAACGATTTCAAAAGAGTAATCTTAAAGCTGCACAGCCTGCCGTCCCTCGCCTGTGCGCATATATGTATTTCTTCTTCAGTCAAGGTAATCGTCGAGGTACGGATTCTTTAGAGTCTCGTGCACATCACTTACCAACACTCTAATAATAATTTGTCAAGATTAAATTATCGCTGACTCGAGCGAGTGTTTGAAATGGCAATTGTATCATGTGGAATATCATGTTTGATAATTTCTTTCGCGCAAGCAAACAGTATACGATACAAAACAACGGTCGAACAGTAGAAATCAATAAGACAATTGCATGAATTATCAATGAAGCGGCTACGTACTGCGAGTATATACTGGGAGAATCGTGCATAAGCAAACACGACAAAGACTAATTATGATATTATCATCGAGTGTGTTAAATATTTAGACAAGAAACGATCCCTCCGTAAATATTCAATATCATAATTTATTTAATTATTATATCTTTGCTATATATATGTACGTATATATATATATATATATGCTTTATAAACTTTCACGCGACTATATACATCGAAATTTCTTTTCTCTCAGTTGCACTAGTTGACACTTGACTGAAAAAAAAAAACTCGTTCCAATAATATTAAACAGCTTCCTAAGAATAGAAGGAGCTAATATTATATAGATATATGTATATATATATATATGTATATATACACACATATATATATGTGTTTTAAGCGCTGACATCTTTAGCCTTAGCCTTACTCTTTTGAAATGTAAAACGGAGAAGCGGCAAATATGATCGTGCTCGCTTATAAGGAATATCAGGCGAATTTGCGGAGAGCCACACCCTGGTTGATCCAGGGTCTCATTAAGTAGTGAGTTTCATTATGACGTTGTAGATATAGATGTTTTGCTCCGTTTTATCCCATTTATGTAATTTATTATCGAAATGAAAAGAAAAAAAAAGAAAAATAAAAATTGTATCGAGATGTAAGTACTAAAGTAATACTCTTTATCATACGAGAGATTATCAAATGATGTCATCCTATATTATTTTAACCCTAGCTTCCTGTTAGGTAGAGATAGCGAGTTCTTTTTTTCACATTTATTTTTTTTTTTTTTTTTTTTTTACTTTTGACGATTAAAAGAATGATTTTATTATGAAAAAAAAAAAAAAACTTAAACGTTCAGAACTTATCAAGATCTTATTGTTAAATCGATTATCGATCGATTATCATCATTCGTTGGGAAAAAAAAATTAAATTTGAATGTTTTATATATATACAATATATATATATATATATATGCGTGCGTGCATGTGTGTTCATTGCGTGACGTAACGTTCGACGTGTCGTTTGGCTGCAAATGATAAGATAAAAAAACACGTTTGGAAATAACAATGCAAAAATTTCAATGTTTGTAACGATCACGTTTACGCTCATGATCAGCCGGCTATGGCGATCACGAAGTCGCCAATCGATCCTCGTGCCTTGTTTCATTTCAACCTAGTACATATCACGGTAACAGTAATTGACCTATTCAACAGCGGATTGTAAATGGATGTGGAAGTAGAACACCTACCGGTATACATGTATTTCCTACATTGTAGCGAAAGAATGCAACTTGCCTCAACTCGATTCTCCCACAATTTCAACGATATATTGATTTTAATTAAACCAGAGAGGGGAAGAAGAAGAAGAAGAAGAAGAAAAACGTCGATTAAGCGACAAATTATCATTTCATTAATATAATTTCGTGGTAATTTCATTTAGGAGACCTTAGTAGTCCTGTTTGGCTTTTAAATATTAACTCCTCGTTCATTCTCTCTGTTTACAAGTCTCGCTATATATACCGTTTATATAAGAGATGGTTTACACAAATTAAGCATATTAGCGGGAAACGTATGACAATATTAGATCAAAGTTTAATTTCCAAAATTGAAACTGCGAAAAACAAGTCGATTCGTGAATTGATTACGTTATTAATTTTCACGATTTTCTTTTTTAACGCGATCAGTGGAGACTTTTTCTTCTTCTTCCTCTTCTTCTTTTCCTTTCTTTTCTTTTCGAAGAATTTCGTTTTCCGCTTTAATCATCGTGGATAATTTTTCTCTTCAATCTGTCGAAAAAGAGGAAAACAGGAAAGAAGAATCGAAAAACTTTTCCTTCTCTCGTCTCGTCTCGAAGACAAAGAAGCATCGACAATTTATACTGGCAAAACTGGTTCTCCGGAATATGAATCTTCCTGTTATTCCTTCGAACGAGTCACGTGTTTTCGTTTGATGTCGCGTTAGAAAAAAAAAAAAAGAAAAATTGATCTTTGATCGTCGATGAAAATGTTCGTTTTTTTCGCAGCTACTCGTTAATGGAACACACGATCGATCATCGATCATGGACGAAGAATCCGTGAAGATCCCGAAGGACGCTTTCCAAAATTCGCTTACATCCGATCATTGTTATACGTGAACGTACAACGAAAACAGATTCGATTAGGTTCTCGGCTTGTTCGAGGACAATCGAGGAATCACAGATACACGTAATGTAAGTAACATACAACAAGTAGTTTCGATACGAGATGTCGTCATCCTCTGAATTCTCGATTATCCTTACTAGCTGTTATGAAACAGAAACCAATCAGTGTACAAAGTCAACTAAGCAAATAGTTTTGAGAACCTCTTTTCACGGAACAATAGCATGCCAGTTCGTTGCAAGCTCAAGTTACTTAAGTTTGATAAAGAAAAAGAAAAAAGAAAAAAAATAAGTAACTGCTTAAAGTTATTAATTATCGACATCTTTATATATTAATATAATTTATGCTGTTAAGTAATTGATAAGCAGCAGGTTGATAAACAACAGTTAAACTTGAGAAATTTTACGAATGGTGAAACGAATAAAATGGTTTCTACCCTCTGGAATGGAAAGCGGGCCAGGATGCTCTCGAAGGTAAGAAGGGGGAAGGAAAAGCGGGATTTGCTTTGTCCACTAGGATTCTTCGATGTAGGACCCTGTTCATAGAATAGAAAGGGATTAGAGAGACGATGATGATAAAGGAAAAAGGAAAAAATCTTTGTGAACCATGTTTCGAAAACCAGTTCAGAGGATCGTACCTGCGATGGATGGATGGATGGATGGATGGATGGATGGATGTGAGAATCGATGGTATTTTATAAATACCATCTGCTACGAAAAAGGAGAATAATTTAATTCCCTTTCATTGGTTATGGATACAATGTTAAATTAATCGTGCATACAACTCTAGATAATTAAGAAATCGAATGACATCATTTCTTATTCAGACGTTCATTACAAAGGCTGTATGTCCGCCATTATTATATTAATCAACCGATTTCTTTTCCCCTTTGCATCCAATTTATCTCTGTAAATTGTTTCGAAGCAACATATTTTCTTAAGACTAACCTTAACGAGTAAGGATCCATAGCTGGTTTTTATGCCTCTCGTTCCAGCGATACAACGTATATTCAGCTATTCCTCCCTCTTTTCTTTAATTAAACGCTTCGGTCAATTTGATCTTTTCTAAAAGAAACCCTCGTCAACTCGAAGCGAGGATCTCGTGCTTGGTCACCATTTTACGTTACTCTGAAAAAGAAAAGATGCAAAACGTCAAATATAATTTTATAATCTATCCGTATATACATTCCCCGTTGCACGAAAGGATCACGATAATCGAACGTCACATGGAAGACGTGGTTCGCTTGCATAATTCTCCAACACAATGCGCATATCGTGGGCACGAACCAATATCTCGAAGGAGATCATAAAACTACTCTAACACAACTACGCGATAATTTCACATCTGCGCTCGCAGCAAAATATTGACTTTCTATGTCGAACGCAAGATACTTTTCACCTTCTTTCGTAGAAACATAAAATAGAACATATACATACACACACACACACATATATACACGTACACATACACACACACACACACATATACACGTACACATACACCATATATATACGTACATATGCACCGCCCTGAGGAAAATAAACTTCGCGAAAGTTCCTCGAGCATACATCGTGACGTTCACCATTAGATCAACGATTATTTTTGCAATATTTTTCTACGAAACGAACAATAGACGAGAGATATTGGACGATTGAAAAACGAAGCTTGTTGGATATTAGAAAAGAAATTATCACGTTCGACGACCAACCCTTGAACGATAATAAACAACTCGACTCAAGAAAAATCCCGATTAAATCGTTCTACGGCACGCAGCTGTAGAATTCCTCTCGAGTAAAACGAGGGAAGGGGGAATCAGTTGTTTTCGAAATTGTTTTTTAGCCTCTCTAATCGCTGAAACGTATTCTTCCTCGAGCGAAAAAAATTGCAACGAGATCAGGAGTTAACAAGCACGACACGATTCTTGAAATCGTTCGATACTGAATCACGATCGAGATAGTTTAGAGTTTAAGCATAGGGATTGCATAAGAGATTCACGTGCCGAAGCCCGTCACGTGATTTACAATTAAGGATAAATATGTCGATAATTATTTGTCGTGCAAGGGCATACGCAACTGGAAATTGACGAATACTTATCAAATCCATTATCTTTGAGAAGAATTAAGTGTTTTATTTAATCATTTAATGGGTAAACGATGTTTGCGATCCTTACAACAATTATCAAAGATTAATTGTCGATCCTAAGTCAAATAATACATTAAAATAGATTAATTTTACGAAACTTTTTATCTACCTTAATCATCGATCAGATGATACATCGAGTAAACGAAATAAGATAATCCACGTCTGAGACTGTTACGTGAAAATTTATCTTCTAAAAACGTGATAAAACATATATTATAGCAATTATTTTTACCTTTCCGTCGTTATTTTTTTTCTTTTTTTTTTTTTTTTTTTTTTTTTTACAATCAAACTTTTACAATCAATACAAAAGTAAATTTCCTTCGGTCGTTTTAAATATGAATTCTGAACAATTCCCACCGATTATTCGGTTGCTATTCATTCAAATGTGAAACGACGATGATTCGGTTTGAAACGTGCACCGGGTCAGATCAAAGATCGAAAAATAAAATTGGATACGCGTTACGTTAAGCGTCAAACGCACGATTTATAAATGCGATATAATAAAAATTACGTCATTTACACGTTTAAATCATTTGTCGATATCGAAACACGTTTACGTTTATAACCATTATGATAACGTCGTTAGCTCGTAAACTCGTATATGTATGCTTAGAAAAAATATTCAAAGCAGAAACAAAACAAAGGATCCTGGCACGATTCAAAGGGGAGATCGTTCCGTATACTTTGGACGATTCGAGCTGATTTAACGACAAATGTTATTTTCGACGAAAATTCGAATCGAAACTTGCATAGAAAATTTCTCGTATGATCAATATAATAAAGAATATATTTCTTCGAGAAACGAAGCTTCACTAATTATTTAGAGCCTTGTATATCTTACCCGTAGTATCGAAATAAGTCACTGTCACATGGTGTCTATTTTTGAAACGTTGATCGATCGTGTTCACGTGTGTGCAATGTTCATAACGTACAGAGTAACGTGAACTTCCTTGAACCTTAAGAACAAAGATTGTTCTCGAAAGCGGTTCTTCGCTTGGTTAAAAACACGGATTTGCCGTGTCTGACTTTCAACGAGGGGACTCGTAATAGGCGAGTTTCAGCTCTTGGTTTCTTCGACCCGTACTCGAACCAAAGAGCCCCGACTGCCTTTCGGTCAATCCTATTCGCAAGACCACGAGAACGGAAGGATCGATCAAAGAAAAGTCAACGACTGCACTCTTTGTACCTTTGTCCCTCTCTGTCATTTATTACATACACCGAATATTTCTAAATAACATTATAACTCGAGAAAAATTTCCTATCATCCTCATTTTTGCCGTGTACGTTCTGCACGTTCAAGCACAACTCGATAAAACATCTCTGGCGTAAATATAATAGCAAATTTACATGTACGTTAAACAGTATATTAATTATTACTCACCTTTGACTTTCAACTTTTTCTTCCTCTGTTTTAAATTCGATTCCGAGGTCTCGATAAATTAACCAGATGGACGAAAATTGAATTAAAATTTTGAAAGAACTCGAACGAGAACGCCTCTTTCTTTGTTTCTTTCGTTTGTTAGGTTAATTTCTCTCTCTCTTTCTCTCTCCCCCTTTCTGTCAGTGGAACGAAGCAGAAGTCTCGTCCTCCGGATACAAACACCTCGCGACGTGCAGTGCGCGGTGGCCGGTACGCGACTAAAGGCTGGGCACGCTTGCCTTGCGGGTCGGTCGATCGTATCTTCTCGACGTTGTCTGTTTTCTGTGTCGGTATATTGCTGGTGACAAAGCGAACAATTTAAGGGTTGCTAACGCGTCTAGAAAGCACAGCACCGTCTGTTAAATGCTCGGCACACACAATATGACAGTATGATACGAAGTATACATATATTGTTGGACGATGACCTATTCACACTCGAAACGTTCGGTCGATGGGCAATACCGAGGCTCATGGCGTGATTCTAATGGAGGAAACCTTTCGTTCGAACCTCGCGTTACAACTTCGAGAATAGAACTGTTCTCATCCAGAATCAGAATTATATATTATTATTTTGCAGAATGAAATTTATATAAATAATCTTTATGAAGTGAAATCAATTTCGAAAATATTTTTTCGAATGAATTTATTTATTAATTTATTAATTGGATTAATTTCTCTCTTTCTTTTTTATCTCGAAGAGAAATTTATTATTTCGAAAAATCCGATCCAACTCACCAAATATCCGATGTATGAATATACAGTACAGTAGTTCACGTGTACAGCGGCATGTATTACGAAAACAATAATGAGTGGAAAGACGTGCGAATCACGTGGACAAGGAGAGAGAGAGAGAGAGAGAGAGATTTGCTGGTTGTATGGTGCACCGTATACATAAATTTTTCATAGGTTTATCTTTGCGAAGCTTGATAGAAGGGGAAATTCGCGAAGCGACCGAGTGTCTCGAAAGAACACATGTAAAATTATATTGGGAAAGGCTCGCGGTCTTTAACCCATTTCTTCAGGGCCGCCTTCTTGATGAAATCTGTACGTGTACGTACGTACGATGTAAACATCCAAAAATGGGAAATAACAGTTAAGAATAATAATAATTTTATTGAATTTTTTTCTCATTAAATTATATCTAATCGTTGCGACTTTCACGAATTAATGCGTCGCAACTTTCCTTATGTTATTGCGCGAGATTGATTGCAATATATACTCGAGTCTTAATCGAAAGAAAAGAAAAAAAAAAAAGAAAAAAAATACTAAACATGTTGTTTTTTTAGATAGATATCTAATAGAATCATAAAAAAAGATAAAAAGAAGAATTGTACGTGTTGAAAAGTTATCAATTATAAGTCATAACATGTTTGAGTGAATAATTAGATAATATTTTATTAGACAATAATAGGTTCGTTAAAGGATATAAATATCATGTATCCCAATCTACGTTATGTATCATATAATTTACGCGTGTTTAGTCGAGTCATTGTTATAACATACCCTTGTTATCTTTCCGACAAAGTAGCAAATACTTATCATTGTTACAACGTTCTTAATGTTTCTTTATGTTTCTTACTACCGATCGATTCTATAACGCCAGTTAATACTAGTGTTGTTATGTATCACGTACGACGCGTCCAATGTGAAAATCTTCAGCAACACAACGCCAGTATTAATTTCACTTGAATCGATATCATTTATTCGAACGGCTATCATGCACAAATTACTCACTCAGCTCTGCATAAACGATCAAATTGTTCGAAGCGTGTTTTAATATTTGTTCTTTGCAAACGATGAATATACCGACTAAATATTTCTTCTAAATGTTTATTGACATTAATATATTAATATTAATAATTGATATAATTATATTAAGAGATTATATGTTTATATCGTATTGTTATATACATAACATGAAGAAGAATGTATTAAATTTGTAATAAAATTTTGATTTTTCCACTTTCTGATTTTTCCAGATTAATTATCATTTTATTTTCTACTCAGTTTTCGTTTTCGAACACGATCAACAATGATTCGCGAGTGTTTGTAATTTAGAATCATTTCTCGAGTTCAATTACTCACTTAACCCAACTTCATTGATATTAAACGTAGTTTATATTTTTTATATATATTTATATATATATTTTTATGGCATCATGAAAACTTCATTGTGAATTTTTTCTATTTGCAGTTGCAATTATATAATTTAAATGTAGATTTTTCTTATATTTCTTATACCATAAAAAGATTGAACTTTTTATTTTTTATTAGTTAGTTTATATTTCAAAACTAGTTTAGTTTATTTTTCGAATTCAATTTTTAAAAAAAAATAATAATACAAAATATTAAATATAATTTAATATATTAAAATAAAAACATTTATAATAAAAGTTGTCAATCAAGTTTGTTTGCGTAATTATGATAACGTTTAAGCAATTTTAACGTTGATAAAGTAGATTCTTAGTCAATGTGCAATTTAAATTTTCGCGGTTTACGAATGGTAGGGTACTGTCGATAAGTTAGTAAAGAGATTCATAAGTATTTTGTTCTATACTGTAGTTCTAGCCAAAATGGTCGTCTTGAGTAGGCTCTTGTTTGCGAGAAATCAAAAAATCTTTCATATAAATGGATTATTAAATAAATTAATACAAAAAAACAATAATAATTACACATTTCAAAATCAAGGTGATAAAGATGATTGTGTTTTATTTCGTATATGCAATAGATCAAAAGTGATAGTGTTTTGTTATGCAATAAATTTTCGTACAATATATAAATTATATCAATTCGTTCGTTTATGATTTTTTTTAATAGTAATGTTTTTAAATGGTTTTTTTTTTAAATATTAAAACTACTACAGTGAAATTATTTTTATTTACATTTATATATTTATAAATTTTATATTTTTGTAAAGGAATATATTATACATTTAATTTTATGATTTTTAGGGGCGTTAAGATGGATGTCAGAACATCGAACTATGAATATAACTCCAAGTCGTTGGCAATGGCACAAAACTAAAGATTGGATGCATTTTTATTTCTTTGTAGGTGCTATACCTGCTGGTTTAATTATCTTTTTTACCAATGTTTTTATAGGTCCTGCTCAATTAGAACCAATCCCAGACGGATATAGTCCAAAACAATGGGAATATTATAGTGTAAGATTCTATATACGAACATTCTAAATGTCTATTAGGTAAAAAATTCATGCGTGTAATAATTTTACAGCATCCTATTTCAAGATTCTTATCCAAATACTTTTTTCCAAACGAACAAATGGAATATGAAAAACTTCTTCATAAATTAACAGTAGCTAACAACAAGAGATTATTATTTAAGTTAGAAAAACAAATACGGGAGTTAGAAATGAAACATAATGATTATAAATATTGGTCGTATAGACAAGGTTCAGCATCACAGATAATAAATCTAAGGAAAAAGATTGATGAACGTGATCCTAATGTAATTGGATCCTAATGTAGTTGAATGATATATAAAATAAATTATATGTATTTAAATATAAAGTAAATTTAACATAGGAAATAAAGTAAAGTAAAATAAAATAATTTATATTTAATTTTTAAGTAATTTAGTTCATTAACTTTCTAAGAATAATGTATGGCATTTTGTGATTTTATCATAAACAAGATGTCATTTATTCTATTCAACAATTAATATGATTTTTTATTATCATAATTTTATAATCAAAGTTTTTAGAATAACTTTCAGGAACTTTTAATATTACTGATTCATCATTATTCGTTATTAATCAATAATAATCAATAATTTAATTAATAATCAATAATAATCAATAAAAATTTATTAATTATATTAACATTCTCGCTGCCATATGATTTATTCTAAATCATAAATTTATTCTAAATATTGTAATAAATTGTAACAGATTAATAAAATTCTAAAATTAATAAATTGTATATAAATATTACGTAAATATAAATTATATAACAATAAGATATTAATAACATTAAAAATTTTAATATTTACATATTTTAAAATATTTGTTTAGAATCATTAGTGATAGGATCGGATGTATTTGATTTTGCCTATTGAGCTATAATATAGCATTATAGATGGATAAGAAACTGTTACTATATCATTATCTACGAACGATAAATTATATATTTTTAACAGATGACTTTTTATAGCAAATATATCATGTTTCGATATTTGTATATATTATTTTTTATTTCTTTTTAATTTTATAATTTAATCTATAATCTTTTTACGTAATCTTTTCACATTTTGAAGATTTTTTAATTTTCAATTATTTTTTTTCAATTTTTGCTATTCTTGCGAATTTAGCGTTTTCGTTCCTTTTAAAATCTGTATATTAAAACATAATATATTATATTTTTTGTTTGTTTTTTCTTTTTTTTTTTTTGCTCAAGATAAAGTAGATATCTCCATAAACATTCGTCATTATCTGCCCACTAGCGTTCAAATTTTGAATTAAAAGTTAAATTTTTTACTAGAAGTTTCAAAATTTATTGGAAAGTAATAAATAATAAGAGACGGAAGAAAAATGAATTGAAACGATCGTTATAAAAGTTTAAAAAAATATATATTTTAAGGATTTGTTTTTAAAAAACCAATAAGTTTATAAAAAAAATTACAAATCTTATCGTTTAATGGTAACGAAACATCTATTAAATATTTTTTATTCTATTCGTACATATATTATTAGAGATCATAGCAGAAAAGTACTTTTATTTTAATTTTTCCAATATTAATCGTTATTCTATTTTCTTTAAACAAAAAAGTTGTAGCGTCGAAATTGCTAACATAAATTGCAGACATTTCATTTTTTTTCTCTTCAATTTTCATAATGTTTTAATTGAATTTACTTGTAAGAGATAATAACCTAATTAATGGTATGAATTTTTCAATTTGTTCGATGTTTATTCGAAAAATTATATCGTTGCTTATTTATTTTTTTCAGTAAATCTGATCAAACATGTGATCAGGTGTTATGAAATTATCGCGATAAAAAATTATAACGTAGCATTTTAAAACGAAGATAATTTTTATATACCATAAAAAGTTTCGATTTTTGAAGTACAACCTTCTGCATTTATAATATGATCATTCATATTATAAAGATCGTCAATACATTGAAATTATGATATCATTTCTCTTATATTTATAAATACTCTCTAATTGATCCATATTTCATGCAAATGAAATAAATTTGCGTCACATTTTTGACATTATTGAAAAATTTTAAAACACTGATTACAGATTGTTTTTTTTTTAGGGATCATTTTTTTTCAACTAAAAACCGTAATATCCAATATGGATAGATTGTCACAAACGAGCGACTATATGACTATTGTAATGGCAAGTTAATGACACAACCGACATACGCCGATACCAACGCAACTCGTGGTTAGTGGTCATTGCCAAGGTTGGATCGTGATATCTTGCATAATGCTTCGGCGTTCTCTACGAATGCGATGAAGGAAGATACATTGCGGAAGATTTTTTTGCACACGCGATTTCTACCAGTCCCGTCGCTACTTCCTCACACGGATCGATCTTCAATTATGCCTCTGAGTTTTTTTTTTCTCTCCAACCGTGTCAATTACCCGCAACTCATGCGACACTGATTGCCTCCGATAATGATAATTCTATCATCGTCGTCTCTCGATTCTGACCTGCACAATCTCATTCTTATTGATTAATTTTTTAACAAAATTGCATCAAAATTTCCGTGAAATATATATATATGTCAGAATTAGATTGGGACGAGATACGTATTTTAAATTACCCCGATCTTATTCTCATCTGATCTGATGATAAATGATAATTAATATTGAACACTTTTTACACTTTCTTACGAGCAAAAAAATATTAAAAGCCTAAAATAATTTTTGGCCATTATTTGTCGGAATACAAGAAAAAAAAAAAAATATTGCTTCGCTTTAATCCCCGTCTTTTTCGATCGATTCACAGTGAATAACAGCACAATTATATATGATGCAATACCACATGTGTTCCAAGACACCGTAAATCTTTTAAGATTTGTGATATTATCGTCCACTGATAATTGCATTGCTTATACATAATAACTTATTAAAAGAAGTCAACTGCCGTTCTTAAATTTTTGATAGATTTATCGTTTGATTTTTGAAATTTCTTCTTCTTCTTTTATCCTATTTATCATATATTCACTTTTTTCTTTATATTTTTACTTTTACGGTATCATAATGGCCGTGTCGATAATATATTCCTTCGAAGATGAATATATCTAATCTAGAATACTAATGAATATTTAACGGAATATTTTCATATTAAAATATTAAAATCAAATTCCTTATATAATGCGTATTAACCGTTGAATTCAATTCATGCTTGTTTATTTTTAACAAGTATTTAAATTAGCCATTCGTTCCATTATTTAGAAACACTTGACGAAGAATTTGATGTTTTAACAATGAGCAATAATTTTATTAAATATACTTTGATGACTTTAAGAGAAAGTTTCATTCCCCTCCATTGACTTAGAAAGCGTCTATCTTGAATGGTCGCAACAAATCTAATGCTTTCAGTAAATCCTCTCCTTTCAGAATTCGTTTAACTTCTCTCGCGAACGCGAAAAAAGTAATTCGTCAATTGTGAATATAATGAGATAAATTGCGTATTTCTCCGATGAAAGAATCGCGTGGATCGATGTAGATCGATAAACCAATCGAAGTACGTTATTCGATTGATAGGAAGGGAAATTAAATTATAATCACAATTACAAGGATCACAGTTTCGACGACAATATTATAATAATTATTAAAGTATAATTTGATAATCTCGTTTCAGATGAATTATCACGTTAAGAAAAAAGAAAAAGTGGAATCTTCGTGAAAAATTTGCCAAACCTTCGAGATCCCAATAATAATAATTCGTTTGTTAGTCTTTTTAATCGGTGCGATTTATCATCGAAATTTGTCGATTACAACATTTAATTTTCTGATATGAAAGGACGAGTATCGATGTCGAATCATTTACTTGTTAATTAATTTTTTCCCATTAAAAAAGAAAAGTGTATCAACAAATTATCACCAACTACGATTAATTAGAATTGCTTCGATTCGAAATTTTGATAAAGTGAGATTCGAGAACTTCTAATTTTTTTTAGAGAGATAACTTTTATTGAACGGCAAGTAAGTACATGCGATCGTTATGCGTTTATGAAACGAACGGAAATTGTTTTTTTTTTTTTTTTTTTTCATTAAAATATATAAAACTTATTATACGCGATTACGTTTCATTTATTATTATTAGTTACATCGCGCCTATCATTGTTGCATGAGAACACTGCATAATGATGACCGAATCATAAAAGCTTAATACATTGTCCGTTTTCCAGAAATCCCTCTTTTCTTCTTCTTTTTCTTCTTCTTCTTCTTTTTTCTTAATACATTCTTTTTATTCCCCAGCCAATAATTATCGAATTAATCGTTGTTTTGATAAGACCGCGTAACATTTCATCGCGTGAGAAAATTGTTACTGTTTACCAAATTAAATTTTATCCTTCCTCAAGTTTTATACCGAGCCGGTTAAAAAAAAAAAGAAAAGGAAAAAATACGGAATGAAAGAAAAAGGCGCGACGTTCCTTTCCGTCTCTCGAGTTTCGATCCGCTTTCTTAACGTCGGCGTCGCGAATTTCGAGACGGGAAAAATTAAATGGCGGATTAAAGTGACGCGTTGCTGAACGCGTTGTCCCTTCCCTCTCCCCAGAAACCGGACAGATTTGCGGCAAATACTGATTATCCGATTGTTCCGTGAGCAGGAATCAAAAGATGTTACAGCACACCTTGTCTCGTCTCAAGGTTCCGCTTATGCGAGCGTAATTTTCGCAAACGACGGCAACGGTGGCGATACGTTAAAATTATTAATCTAAGAAGAAAAATCGAAAGCGTCAACATCTATCGATCCTCGCTTTATTCTCATATATTATTCCATCGAACGACGATAGAATTCACCACGATTAACCATGTTTTACCACGTTTCACGACCGCAAAATTCCATTCCAAATATTATTAATTATCGTTTCGATACTCTCGTTTAAAACTCGCTTCGTTGTATTGTCTATCGAATGCAAAAATGTGCTTATCTTAAAAGCCATCATACGCGTATCGATTAATCTAAACTAACAGGAGAACGCTTTAAACCGTGAAATTTGCAATTTGGCGCGCGCGTGTGTTAGAGACTCTCGTGTTGGAGAGGAAAAAGAGAGAGAGAGAGAGAAACATTTGTGATTAAATTGTTATCGATTAAATTCTCTCGGCGCACAGTAAGGATAATTGAATATAATTATTTTAGTCGCACACGATACTGAATCCGTCGCTCGTAAAATTGCAATTCGATGATCAATTGTCTTGGACAGAATTTTTCTACCTACCACCTACGCGATACGATCTATCGTTTTCTTATCGATATTACGTGTACTATATCGTTTCTTTCTTTCTGTTCGACTCTCTCGATTTCTTCCTCGATCCTTCCCTTCCTTCGTCGTGTGTCAAACTGTGTCTCCCAATCTATCGATGATATCTTCTTCTCTCGT